TGGTGGCGCTCAGGAAAGCAGTCATACGGGAATCAACTCAGATTCCAGAGGACCTGGGCCAAAGATAATAAGCTAGCGCTGGTTACATCAGATGGAAAACTAGCGTTCTCTAGATGGCTGAGACATCCCTGACGAACCCAGCCCCCGGTGGACAAGGGATTATTTTGGTCCGCAATGGGGCGCTGGACCCGCTTTCCAGCATTAACATAATACGGCTGTAGTATGAAGGCCAAATAAGTGTTGAGATTATAGTGTTCACTGATTTTTAAAACTCTGAAGCGAAACTGGGTAAGGCTCCCAGATAGTTAGGACTCAGGAGTACACTTGGACTCCCATAGGAAAAGAGCGGTTGGCTTGTTTTTTTCTCCTTGATCTCTGGATTTCTTCAGTTCTTTTTTAGTCCAGTTGTTTCTCCTTTTTTCTAGAAAGTTGCAGACTTGGGATGCTGGACTCGGTTTCCAGCAATAGCCAAATCTGGGTAATGGCCCCAGCCCCCTCCGGGTTGAAATGTCGAGGGTTTCCCGGCCTCGTGTTTGTTGTTATAATGGAAAGAGCTGCTTCTTTCGGAAAAAAAAAAGAAAAGAAAAAAGAACATGACTGGACACATCACGTACCCTAAAGCACATATATGTCACACAAAAAGAAAAACAAGAAAAAAAGCAGAAAATCAGCACAATGTGACAGTTTCGGTGCAAAATTCGCTGAAAATAACACCCCTGGTTAACCACAATGTGTACCAGGTGGACCAGTTGGGCCCAGTGGGACCAGGAGAACCAGAAGGGACCTGGTGGACTAGGTGGAACCAGGTGGATCAGATTGACCAGGTAAAACAGGTTCAAATTCACAAGTTCTATATTCTTTGGAAAGTGGTCCATTTAAGATGGGACTTCCCGAGACTGCCTTGACTTCACAGCCGATTCGCCAAACTGGGTTCACCTAATCTCGTTCACCTTGGACCGGAAAGGTGGACCATGTGGGACCAGGTTCAAACTCACACCACGTGGACCAGGTGGGACCAGGTTCAAATTCACTCCAGATGGACCAGGTCGACCGATTTCAAATTCACTATGTTCTTTGGAAATGGTTCACAAGTTCACAACTGATGAGGGGTCTTTCAAGTCCAAAATTTACTGCTGATTGGCACCTCCATTTCGGTAAGGGGTACGCAAAGTGAAAAGGTCCTGACTTCACTGAAAAAGATTTTGTTTGCTTGCCTTTATTGCTTCAAACTTTATGCATGCATCGAACTCTAGATCCAAACCGGGCCAGCAAGATTCACATGATATCGGCACACTCGAAACTTATTTACAACTTGAGATGATGTACACAGGATTCTCGAGCATCGCGGCTATGGGGGCCAACAACGACAACAAGCAGGTAAGATTCTCTCTCTCTCTCTCCCTCTCTCTCTCTCTCTCTCTCTCTCTCTCTCTCTCTCTCTCTCTCTCTCTCTCTGCTTCTCAATACTACTGTACACAGGTCTCATGATCTCCTCTGAATGTCCTTACTGCACTTACTCCCGTACTGCGCTAGTCTACAGCTATGGCGTGCAGCCCCATCGCCTCGCCAGGCACCGATCATGCATCCAAGATCTTGGAAAACAAGTGACTTGAGCAGGTTGGATGTATTGCGAGCCAACCAACAGACTTCGGGAACTACCTGTACTCATCACGCTGCTGGAATAGAAGCGTGCCTGAGGTTGCTGCTGCTGTAGCCAGTGCGGCTGCTATGGCCTGAGCTACTGCTGCTGCCTCCTCCCTACATCGCTGCGCGTGACGGGTAGCGCTTTCTGCACACAGAAGTCTCTCTCCTCCGGGAGGTAAGGCCTGGTGCACGATGTGTATCTTACGTGCCCTCTGTTGTGTCACTCTCCCTTCGTCAGCTCTCTCCTCCTCACTGTATCCACTCATCAGCTAAAGCAGATCACGGTTCGCACTACTGTCCTCGCTGGGACCTACCACAGCATTGCATCTGACCGAGATGCAAGAATAAATAAATAAATAAATAAATATTCGGTACGAAACTCAGATGCCCGATCAGGCGCTGTGAACAGAATGTACACAGACTCAGCAAAAGATCCTACTTCTACTTCAACTAGTTCTCAAACAGCAGCAAAAGATAGAACTGGAAATGGTAGACTGCTACAGTACTATTCCATTGCTGTCTGTCAGGTGTCAGCAGTCCGTAAACACCTCAACTAATAAAAACAAAAATAAAATCAATTGCGCAGATGCATGTAAAAATGGAAATAAACTACTAATAATAATTGAGCACGAATTGGAACCTTCACATTCCCCCTGTATCCAACGTCCTGGCTGCATCAAAAAATGTGTCTAAGGTGTGCACAACGGCCCACCCCTTTGCCCAGGTGGATGCAAAACCGGCCAGCCCAGACTGTACTATTTTTATCCTCGCGTACAGCGCCTGTGTTGCACCCTCACAGGGCTGGCCTGCCCCACAACACCTCTATGCGCAGCAAGAGTTCAAAGGACTATGCAGCAAAGCATGCGTGCTCTATTCCCATGGGTTGGCATGGTGATCGCGACCCATGCTTCGTCCAGGGCGCTTCAGAGGCACCACCCTCTCCCACCAGATGCGACCATGCTTCGTCCAGGGCGCTTCAGAGGCACCACCCTCTCCCACCAGATGCGACCATGCTTCGTCCAGGGCACTTCAGAGGCACCACCCTCTCCCAACAGATGCACCACCAGGAAGAATGTCGTCTCTCAAGGTAGAGCTTCTCACTACTCCTGAACCAAGAGAGGACTCTCAAGACGAACTTTCTCCCTCATGGTAAGAAGAGATTGAGAAGGGAAGATAAGGTCAGGAACAACGTACCTGGAGATAGCTTCCCCCAACCACAGATTTCTCACCAATTGAGCCAATGTGCACCACATATTTCTCACCAATTGAGCCAATTTTGATTTTGATGACCAGTCATAGCCTCAGCACCACCCACAATACAGTGCAGTGCCACCTCAGCACAAATGACACGTCAGCATGCTCTCATCATTCCACATACACCTGATGTACCGACAGCCTTCCATCCCACTCCCCTCTACCCGGGAGGGACTATTTCCAGCCGGCGTCAAAGTATCCTTACTGCGGAGAAGCTTCGTCAGTGCACCAAGTAACCAAGACACCAGCGCCAGTATGGCGATATCTGAACAAGCTCCGATACCAAATTGCAAGGAAAACGAGCGAGAGCGATAGACAGAAAACCAAATTGCAATATCACGTTGAAGACCAGATAATCGTGTCCCAGAAAGCAGAATGCAATGAGATACAAGCCAAATAAGAGCAATACAATGAACTCAAATGTCAATGTCAGGCTCTTCTCGCCACCATCAACAATGAATCCAATGTTGCCCTTCTTGATTGGCGCCCAGCGCCAGCCTACCTCTACTCAAAACCTATGCTAGCCTACACTACAACATGCAACCAGGAATCACTTCCAGCCGAAGACCGATGTACGTGACAAAGTCGCCCATGCAGACTGCCGCATACACCAGGCATGAGTCTCTCTCTACTCTCTCTCCCTCTCTCACCACCTTCTCTCTCCCACCTTGTGCGCCTCCTACCCGAAGGCCACCATCAGCATCACCACCATTACCGGGAGCAGGCCCGGCTATGGCGGCTAGCACCCGCTGCCCATGCAGTGCCCCTCACCTCACCGCGCCCCTGTGCGACTCCATCCAGCGACCAGGCAGCATGCCAGTGCACTGTTTCGGCACTGTGGCCGCCCAGTCACGCAAGCCCCGAATGAGCCTCCCAGTGCCCAGCACTTTACTATATGGAAAGTGCTCCACTGTGTTGCCCTCCTTTGGGGCTGGAGGCCAGGTTCCCAGTAGCCTGGGTTCGGGCCAAAGTGTCTGCGCCCAAGCCCGATGCAGATAGTGGCCTGGACCCGTGACAGTTAAGCAACTCAATTGTGCTACGTGGCCAGCATCACTCGCTGCTTTCTGATTAGCCGAAGGGCCTGGAGCCACGTCGCTGCCTGGAAGAGCCCAGAGGCCTAGGATGTCATGGTCACACTAGCGTGGGCCTTGTAACCAACTGGTGCGAGGTAACTGCCTGGCGGCCCCAAGTGCAGAAATGACAAAAAAAAGTCCTCAAGTCGTCATGCAGGCCCGCCTTCACTTAGGGCGGGCACGTGACTTGCTGGGGGCCCCGATGGTGTGGGGCCTAGTGGCTTTGCAAGGGTCATTCCTCGCACAGGCAGCAAATCAGAACAACAGTCAGAAAATCAGAGCAACAGTCAGCAATACTCAGAGAAAATGCAGGAATCTCACACTGCACTATGCGGGGCATTGAAATGTACAAAGCAACCCACGCAAGGGGACAACATCTGATCAGTACATCTCACAGATAGCATAGTAGCCATTTCCCTCCTTCAACCCCCACCCTCCCCCCGATACACACACACACACACACACGTGGGCAGCTGCTGCTCAACCACAATCAACGTGGGTAGCCTTGTACGTAAGAGGCACAGTAAAAGAAGAGCTTCAAAAATGGAAGGGGTACCCCAAGGATAACCAGAAAATTGTCTAATTGTAAAATTGCCTTCAAATGTTGGACAGTCTCATCTTAAGTGCTCTCATTGTCTGCAATAGAACAAAACTGCTTTCATTCTGAATCTATTCATCTGGGTGGAATTGGGGCTGTTGTGGAGAAAATTTATAACACACGCCGCGGGAATCTCAGACTGCACTATGCGGGGCATGGAAATGCACAAAGCAACCCATGCAAGGAGACAAGATCTGATGAGTACATCCCACAGAT